AAAAGCTAACTATCTAGTGACCAGATCTATCAGGCTGAAAGAAAAAATATTTTATGAAAATGTATATACATACTGTGTGATGCAAAAACCAGCACACAATGTAACAAGAAATGTGTGCGGAATTGATCACTTTTTTTATTTGTTAAATATTGATACAAAGGATGCAGAACATAGTCCTGCAGCTAAAGGTGTTTCTGATTCCCTCAGGAACTGGTTTCCTTAAGCTCCCCCTGACTATTAATATATAAGCACAAAAAAGACTGATGCAAATATTTTTGTTTTGTTTTGTTTTGTTTTTTAATCCATGTAAACGTGTGTTGTATTCTTGAAACACTCTTTAAACATCTTGAAGGGGAAACGAGCAGAAAATAGGGAAGAATAAAGGACCTTCAAAAACAGGAATAATCCTAAAGGTTGACAGGAAATCAAATCATTACTTTAATGTTAATTTTGGCATCAAATGCTTTGGTCACACAATACTGACTCTGTGATCCTGGATGCTTAGCACTAAACACCCAGTTATGAAAGGTAGGCGTGTTGTAGTTTTTCCTTTTAAGTTCCAACAAACAGTTCACCATCTCTCCAGGCAAAGAGGAGAGAGAGAGAAAAAGAGGTGGCTTGCTTTTTTTTTTTTTTTTTTTAATAATATGGATTAATCTAGAAGTCTACAGGAGCAAGAGGACTCTGAGAGGTGCCAGTTCACCCCTTCTGTGTACATGTTTTGCAACAAAGTTGGTGAAGTACTTTCCGTTGACACAGATTGTTCTTTTTCACTAACGTACAGAATCCTCCCTCGGCCCAAGATTCTTCCGTTGCTTCCAGAGGTCAGCGGTAAAAGGAGGGGGGAAGTTGAAGATTTGAAGAGCATGGTGTGCAATGGAGGAAGGTTTAATTGGTCAGACAGGTAGATTTGATGGAAGAGATCATTCAGTAGCAGGTAACAGGGAGGAAATTTGGTCCATCAAAAGGAATTTCAGTCAACAGCATTTTTTTTTTTTTTTCAAGAGGAAATATTGGGTGGGCCAACAGGAAGTGATTGGGATCCATTTGTAAAAAGGAAAAAAAAAAGATTGGAAAGAGAATAATTAGAAAACAGTGATAAAAACAGAAAAGGAATTTTTTTCTGAGTCATCGTGAATCAAAAGGATACAACAGTCAAATCACAGGAAAAGAATCAAATATTCCAAACAAAATCAAAGTCTATGGTATAAACCTGACAAGTGACCTTGCAATGCTCAACTGTCAGCCAGTGAACTAAGGCCCTCCTCTCTTTTACAAATTATAAACAACATTCCTTTACTGCCCTTTATCTTCCCAAATGTTATAATGAAAATAGACTAGACCTACCCGATGTTGAACACCTTAAATCCCTGTTGATTTTTATGGGAGGAGGTTGCTCAGATCCTCCTCTGAGTTCCCAGCTCCTTGCAGGATTGAGTCATGTGGCAGTAAAAGATGAATTCATGTTACTTCTATGGATGTTAGTCTTATGTCATCTTGTATGTTCAGCCACAGACATAAATTTTATTTACACAAGTGTACAGAGGGAAGCACTTACAGTTTATATAGTGTTTTTCACAAAAAGGCTGAAAGTGTGAAACTGTCACAGAAAGTGAGAGGATGCTATAATCATATTCACACAGATGAGTGCTTCTACTGTAAATTTGCTTTGCCTGAGCGCCTTTTAGGTTGGCATTAGCAGTGATCCATGGAAATTGCCCTCAGTGACACCTATATGTTCAAACTCACTAGAGTCATTGAGGTTGTTGAGGTTGTATGGGTGTAAATGAGGACAAATTTTAGTTCAAGACACTCAAGACCCAAATGGTATAGCAAACCCTGGTACTGAAATACATTGCTGATAACAGAGGTTACTGTGTTTGCACCTTTAATTTGGTTTTCACTGCTTTTATCCAAGTCCTTCTGGAATAATTAGGACCTTGTGACATTTTTCCTGACATCTGTGGTAATGGACACTTAGTTTGTTGGTACATTTTGACTGATTTTCTTAAGCATCTGTAACAGTCATGACTCTAGACTGGACAGCCTGTTCTGGAAGAGCAAGGAGGTAACAAGAACTGTGAATGTGCACAAGTGCTGTTGGCTGAATCCTTCTCTGTCTCACTGAATAGCAAAACATATTAGCTTTGGTGTGAGCTAGACTGGCCATTGAGTTACCATTAGCTTTTACTATATTTGGCTTGCCAGCTATCTGTTCCACTATATGTAACACCTGGCTTCTGTTCTGGTGTTGTCCCCAAAGGACAGTGAGTTCGTGCCCGGTGCGCTTGTGCCAATAAACACACAGGGGTGGAGGATCCAACTTAATCTTTATTTCTGCGCAGAAAGTGGTGCTTGGCAATCGTTCGCAAAGCAAGCACCCACACCCCAGTGGGCGTCTGCCTTATATAGCTACGTAACAGGTTAAACTTGCTGATGTGATGAAATGTGTAGCAAGCCCAGCAAGTAACCCCCCTTCCAGCTCCGGAACTTTGTTGATACAGCTTTTCCTCTAGCGAGGCCAGCAATTAAACAACTAAGCAACAAGCGATCTCCCCCAGCCTAAACAACCTACTCTATGCCCTTGGTTAGATAAAATACTTTTTTCAAAACATACAAAGCTGTTCCTGAAGTAGAAAATGCATAGTAAAAGTTTAGGGGATCTCTGCTGGACATGGCTTCCAGCCCTACCTCTGTCCCTAGGGGTTTAGCCAGGTGCCCCTGAAACAAGGGGTGCTTATCAGGGTAAACAGTTACAAAATGATATTCTGACATAAGCTTCATATTAACACACCCCAAATATCTCTACGTATAGAGAATTAAAATGGTTACATACATACTACCCTGTCTTGTTCTGTCCCCCCTCTGAAGTTTTTCTGGTTTAAAGTTGGGCTGTTTCTGCTTTAATGAAGACCCCCCCCAAGAAATAGTAAGTAAAAGATACTATAATGAAGTAAATGAAGCATTAACAAAAAAAGATATATAAAACATATGAGTACATACCTAGATCCTGTCTGGGAACAGTTCCAGAATCCTGAGAAAAGAGGTGTTTTCTGCCCTTCTCAGGGTTATATCCTGATGACTTCTAATTTTAATATGTATGAGGCTTCTCTCATGGATTGGCAGGTCATCATCAAGGACTGCCCAGGATATTGCATACTAGTCTTTAATTCATCCCTGAAGACACCCCCTGTGGTGGAGGACAGCCCTGGTTTTTTGCATCCTGCCCTTTGATTCATTCCTGTAGGCCCATTGTGATGGATCCAACACCTATTCAATTTTGGATGGTACACACCCTGCCAGTCCCCATTGTAAGATTCCTAGGTGTGAAAGCAGCAACTGATAAAATCAAAACCCTTGAATTTTGGGTGCACACACACAGCCAGTCTTTTTTGTAAGGTTCTTAGTTGTGAAGACAATGCCTTGTTGTAGCCATCAAGTTACAGATCTCCTGTATGGCTTCATAGATTTTTCTTTAGGCCTGTTCCAACATGTTCTTAGCTGTGACCCCTTATAACCACAACCCTCTATACCCTCCCTTAAAGAATGACATCTGTAAGAATGTGTTTCTAATACGTTTTGTTTTCATTAGCCTCTGTACAAAATTTACACCTTTTGCTAGTTTTATATTATATCCTGGCTACATTGTTCTCTGGAGCACGAATTTATAATTTCTTGTTCCAATTAAACGTTCAATGTGGGGTACCAGAGGTTTATCCTCCTCATGAATAACACCATGTAAAGCAGCATGTGGGTCTCCAGACAGAAGAATATGGTTTATAATTGCTACACCCTGAGCTAAATGTTTCTCAGTGAGACAATCCATAGAGTACCCTAATGCCATTACAGCATTTAGAATACTCTTCATATACAGTTCAGTACAAAGTTCCCAAATTGTCTAGTTTATGTCCTCATCTGTCCTGTCCAGACATTCATGGCTTCCTTGACCTGGTGCATTTAGGAGGCAACCCCTGCAGGTTTCAAAAAGTCTCTTTCTCAAACAATATTTCAGTATGCCATAACAACAAACACGCACAAGAGATTTCATGAGGCTTCTGCGACTCCGCGGTGAGACAGGCCCAGTTCGTTCAATTCCTAGTTGTCTTCTAAAGGCCACAACACCCTCTTCTTCTGAAGCACCAGGACTCTGATTGTCACAAAAGCAGCTTCTCTTTTCAAGTACCAAGGTTATAGAGCTGTTGCTGTGTTGTCTTTCTGGTGTCATGAGAGAGGATTTATCAAGCTGCAGAGGAATTTTAAAGGAGAAACTCCGGTTACCCTCCATTAATGAGTCAATAGTCGATTTCTGCCCCCCTTCCTGCCACCAATACCCCCTGCTAAAGATCCTCCCCCCCACACACACACACACCAGCTCTTCTCCAAGTTCAAAACACTCACCAGTGGCTCTGCCCCCCCAGAGACGACATCTTCTCCCTCAGCATCCAAAATGAGACACCCCTCTTCTCTAGAATCATCAGCATGTGCTCTGGGCCCCTGGCCACCAAACATCTCAGGAAACACTTGGGTTAGGGGGCTACTCTCCTTCATCTCCCCCTCTTCAGAACTGTTGCTACGGTAGTGTTTTCTTAGCAGACATCTATCTGCTCTTTGTGGTAAGGCAGGAACAAAGGGCCTTACTGGTGTGGAGTAAGAATCGATACTTCCCCCTGTGAAGAGATGAAAGAGTTAACACAGGTCCCCTCCCTGTTACTGCAGAAAGCCACCCCCCTCCAAAATAATTCTCGGCTAGTTACCTCAGCAGAGCCTTTGGGGTTGAGGTTGTCTGCCACTCCCAGGCTCTCTGCCTGTGGCTCTGATGTGGTCTGTTGGGGGTCTGCCACAGTCCCCAGATCTGTTTTGGGAGTCTGGGAATCTGTCTCAGTCACTAAGATCTCACCCATAGTGCTGCTGAGAGAGGTCTGAACAGTGCCTGAGGCTTCCAAAGTATAAGAATTCATATTTGTTTCTGCCTGTATTAGCGTGGTCTCAGAAAACACGTGGCCTGGTTTGGAGGGTTTTCCCAACAGGATTTAGACAAGAGACAGGCCAGAGACTGCCAGCCTAGGACCCACCCCCCACCCTTATACTTGCCCCCCTATTGGCTCAGTGGCATTATCGAGTGGAGGAGTTTCCCAGTAAAGGAGTGACCATTCTGATGTCACAGGCCATGTGATGGGAAAAGGGTGTTCTGGGAAGCAACATGGCGGCCAACATGGCCACCAACATGGCTGCCAGGGGGCTGGGCCTGATGAGGTCACAGTCCATGTAATAGGAACAGGGTTTTCTGGGATGCAACATGGCAGCCAAGATGGCCACCAACATGACTGCCTGTGGGGTTGGGTCTGGTGAGGTCACAGGCCATGTGATAGTAACAGGGTGTTCTGGGATGCAACATGGTGGCCAAGATGGCTGCCAGGGGGGTTCAGGGTGGAGTTTCCAGTGGCAAAGGTCAGGGTTTATGGGCAGGACTTCCGACCGTAAAATGGCAGCCAAAGATGGTGGGCAGGGGGGCGTGTCTAGGGGCAGGGTTGGGGAGGATCTAGGGCAGGGCCAGGGCCAGGGCACCTGTCAGTGGGCAGGGCTAGAGCTGACTCCATTGTCAGTTTGACAAGATGTGTACCCTATATACTACTCATATGCACAACTAAAGAATCTAGTTCTGTGTGGCTTTCATCAGCCCATTGTAGCATGATAGACCATAGGATTCTCCATAGTGCTTCAGTTGTGAGTTTGTGAGCACGGATCAAATGAGAACGTTCTCAGCAGTGCTGTCACCATAAACACCACTCTCTACCAATATGTCCTTTAGGCCAGAATGATCCATATACTGACCAATGACCTTTGAGAAATTCATTTGAATGTGGAACCCACCCAGCATTAACACCAGATTTAGCTGTTCATCGAATGTTACCACAGTGAATTTCTGATGCAAGGCAGATGTCAGACTTTGACAATTCTTAATAACTGTCCAGATAGTGTTAAATTCATAGGCAAACCAGTTTATTATTGGCATTGGACTGACAACTGCCCTGGTGGTATTCAATTTGTCCATTTAATAGATTTCATAGACATTAGGGCTGAAAGGGACCTCAGAAGATCAGAGTCCAACCCCCTGGGGCAGAAGTCAGCAGGGGTCATAGGATCCCAGCAAGATAAACATCCAATTTTCTCTTGAAGGCATTCAAAGTAGGTGCTTAACCCCCCTCTGATGGCAGGCTATTCCAGACCTTGGGGGCTTGGACAGTAAAGAAATTATTCCTTATGTCCAGCCTGAAATGGTATTGCAGGAGTTTATAACTGTTAGACCTTGTTGTCCCTTGGGGTGTGCTGGTGAACAAATGTTCCCCCAGATCCTGGTGGACACGCCTTATAAACTTATAGGTGGCTATCAGACTGCCCCTGAGCCTGCATTTTTCAAGGCTGACGAGTCCAATAGCTCTAAGCCTGTCATTGTAAGGTCTGTTTTCCTGACCTCTGATCATGCATGTGGCTCTTCACTGGACTCGCTCAAGCTTCTCCACATCCTTTTTGAATTGTGGAACCCAAAACTAGATGCAGTACTCCAGCTGCGGCCTCACCAAGGCCGAGTACAAAGGGAGAATGACGTCTTGGGAAGCATCTTGAGCATCTTGACGTCCTTGAGAAGCATCTATGGATACAAGTCAGTGTTTTGCTCACTTTACTAGCTGCAGCTTCACATTGAAGACTCATTTTCATCTTGTGGTCAATCATGACCCCTAAGTCCCTTTCTTCTGTAGTGCTAGCCAGCGTAGCACTGCTGAGCCTATAAGGATGCTGCAGGTTTTCCTCCCAAGGTGGAGAACCTTGCATTTTTCGGTGTTAAACACCATCAGGCTCTCTTCCGACCATTTCCTGAGCCTGTCGATGTCAGCCTGCATCGCCCTCCTGTCCTCAGGTGTGTATGCTTTACCCCAAAGTTTGGTATCATTGGAGAACTTGGCCAGTCCACTTCTCATACCAATATCCACATCATTAATGAAGATGTTGAACATGATAGCTTCAAGGACAGAGCCTTGGGGGACCTCACTGGTCACAGGGCACCATGATGATTGACTTCTGTAAACCACCACCCTCTGGGTCTGACCATGGAGCCAATTCCTCAGCCAGCAAATTGTGGTCAACCCGAGGCTGCAGTTAGCCAGTTTTGCCAAGAGTTGATCATGGAATACCAGATCAAAGGCTTTTTTAAAGTCAAGATATACGACATCAATCTCCTCTCCCTTGTCCAGGTGATAGGTCACCTGGTAATAAAGGAATAAGATTGGTCAAGGAAGACATA